AGGATTCTGCAATATATTCTATAGTCTCTAGGATTTCTCTGTGTTATAAGCCTCTTTTTAGATATAAATATCCCTACTTGCTCTGCTCCTGGCCTTTAGGTTATGTATCTTGTCATGTGTCATTTACAATTACATAGTAACATACAGGAAACATTGGTTGAATTTAACAAGTTTTGTGGAAGAAGAGAGGTTTTCAAATCTGTGGGGTTTTTTTGTTTTGCTTTGTTTTGTTTTGAAACAGGGCCTCACACTAGAGGCCTCAGACTAGCAATGCTCCAGCTTCCTGAGTGCTGGAAGTACAGGTGTGTACAATTATTTCCAGCTTTCAAATTTGGTTTTTCAGTAGGTCAGTATGAAACAATCCAAATTAAGAAGGAGGTCAATTTTTGATATTACTAAAATAGTTGTTTACTCCAGTGGTATCTAATGTTTACTGGGTATTGAATTAACATGTAGCCTATCAAACCACAGTCCAGCATCATTAGTTTCAATTACACCCAAACAGACACCCTCAATCCAAGACCCAAATGTTCATTCCACATCACCTTAATCTTCTGAATGTGTTTTGTCTTTTGTTTTGTTTTTAAGATTTATTTTTTAGGTGTGTATTTTCCTGCATGTATGCATGGGCACCATGGCTCAGAAGCCAGAAGAGAACATTGGATCCCTGGAACTGGAGTTACAGGTGGTTGTGAGCTGTCATGTGGGTGCTGGGAACTGAACCTGGCTCCTCTGCAAGAGCAACAAGTGCCCTTAACCACTTAGCTACCTCTTTAGCCCCATTGTCTTTTTAAAAAAATTATTTATTCAATAACCACATACTTAGAAGAAGCACTTCATTACAACAGCATTGACATATTCAATAACAATGTCCAGTCTTTTTAATCTACTAACACTATAGTTTCATAGAAAGTTTGTACCAGTCAAATACCAAGGGTTTTGCCTTGGTCACACACTGTTATAACTCAGTATTTGGAGCATTTCTTGGTTTAGAAAGCTGTGAAACCTACACAGTCATGGATATGCACAAATGTGCAGAGTCATGCACAGATACATACATGCACATGGGTTTATATGTATTTTATGGTTGTTTTGACCTGTTCTGTGCTTCATTTTATGTTTGATACATTTGTAAGGTAGGTGAAAATTGTTTTATTTTATGTATATGAGTGTATTGCCTGTATGTGTATAAGTACACCCATGCTGTGCAATGCCCATGGAGGTTAGAACAGGGCATCAGATCCCCTGGAACTGGAATTGCAGATGGTTGTTAGCTGCCATGTGGGTGGCAGAAATCAAACCCAGGTCCTTTGCAAGAACAGCATGTACTCTAAACCACTGAGCCATCTCTCCAGCCCCTAGTAGGTGAAATTTTTATCTTGTCACAGAGGAAGGCAGATAACAAGTCCCTGTGATATCCACATCTTTTAATTTCTCCCAGGGGTGCTTGGTGTCAGTGGGAACCCAACATATATGTGGCTGGCAGTCGTTATTCCAATAACTGTGACATACACATGTCACATAGGGAAGGCAGACCATTGAATAATGTTACAATGTTTGTGAATCCATTGCCTTAAGAAACAGACAAGCAGCCCTATGTCAGATTCACAGCTTGCCAATTCACAGTTTGACTGTCCACAAAGTACTACATTGAAGGAGCCCCTACAGTAGGGCATCACACCTTTCCTAGCTCACACTCTATAGAGTTGAAAGGGTCAAACTTTGCCCAGTTCATCAAGGATCTTAAGCGGGGTTCAGAGAGGAATTCCTGTAAATAATATGTTTCTCCAGCCTCCCAGAGCACCGTTGGGCATTGGAGTTTTTCAAAGATGAGCCACAGGAAAGGACATCCGATCCCTTCCTTGAGTGGCTTCACACTTACCTTCTTCCATCATCTTGATCCTGAAGTATGCAATGAGGAGGAAGAGCAGCAAAGCCACAGGCAGGAAGATCCCAAAGAACAGGAACAGGCCAGGGAGCTCCTGTAAGAAGTCTGCCAGCACCACATGCATCACCCACCCACAGGCACTGCTGGGACTCAGGATCCTCACCTGGGACAGGGCAGCTGCTCCCAGTCCGTGTTAGCTATTTTCTGGAGCTCTGGCCTTTGCTCAACACTTCGTGGAACTTTCTGTGGACTTTGCTCTATTTAAATAGTGGGGTGACTTCCCAGAGGGTTGTTGGCAGGTTACTATGTAACTCAGCTACAAAGTGTAGAGGAACTGAACAGTAAATCTCCCAAGCTATTCTCAAGATGAGTGTTTGTCTGGTAGAGGTGGGGATAACTCCCAGAAGCCAAGATTTCTTTGCATTTAGTTTATGTAGAATGAAAAATATACTTCTTACTGTGCATTCTTCCTATACATTCCCAGCCCTAGAAAGAACTTTTACTCCATTTCCTAAATTTCAGAGCTAAAAATTACTTTGTAGCCATGCTAATGTACCTGTGCACCTGTGTCTGAAAAAATGTTAATTTTTCTTCAGACATGGTTAATGTAGCAAACACAGAGGAAGAAGCAGCATACTTCCCACATGTAAAATCCCTTCCTGCTGGTCTGGCTCTGAGTATTTCTTCAGGAAGTGCATTGATTCATTCACTTGTTCAAGAATCACTTCATTCTATTAGAATCTAACTGTGGTCTGAAGCTGGGTATACATAGCACGGGAGTCCACAGCCCCTTTCTCTAACAGCATAGGACGACACAGATAACAGTCACAGTCAGTGGGGTGTGGGTGGTGACAGGCCCTTTTCCTTCTCCTCTTGGTGACTCTGTGTTTGCTGGCTGCTGTAGCTCACACTCTGCTCTGCTCTCTGTTCATGCTTGCCTTGACCTGGATGTAAGAGATGTGGATAGTGTGGTAACTCCAGACTTCTGGGAAAAGAAAGGGCAATAAACTTACAAATGCCAAGGTTTACCTTGACTTGTTGACTATGGTTGCATTTCCTTAGACTATTTTAGTGACAAATTTCCAAAGAAGCTGGACTACTAAAGCTAATTAAAAGACTCATTTCTCTATTCAAAGGATCCTTGGAGGATTTGGAAGAGTTTGAAGGGGATAGGCAGCTGTTTTCTATGCCTCACTCCTGGCTTGTGTCCTGACTCTATACCCTGTGTCCTAGGCAGCTGCTGGTGAGTGACTGGCAGAGTCCACCATAAAGGGGCTGCTGTCTACCTAGGTTCTTCTTTCTGGGGCTTTGTGTAGCCATGTGGTCAGTTCCAGCCGTGAAGTCTGCACACTAACTTATAAAAGGATGGACTGGAGAGAATCTCTGGAAGGCTCACCTAGCATCCTGGAGCAGAGAACAGTAGACAGCTTCTCTCTTAGTATCAGTTGGAAGGAAGGTCTTAGGATGCCGATATTAAACCTGCAGTCATTATACTTCATTTGCTTCGTCGCGGCTCCACAAATCCTTGAGCAGTTTTGTTGGTATGATGCTTGCTTGTTGCTGTTGAGATGGCTTGCTGGTGCTCCTTCAGCAGGAACAGGATGCTAATTTGTAAAGTGTCAATCTTCAAAGAACCTCCATGAGCTGGTGACATACAGGGGAGATGTTGGCCAGCAGCTAGGAGGACTGTCATGTTCTGTTTCATTCCATTCAGCAGAGCTTCAATGAATGCCTAGACTCCTGTACATAAGAGGGAGAGGCAAACATAAACTACAATAGTCTTCACTGCAAAGCTCCTGGGGACAGACTGATTCATTCCAGTGAGGAACTGGGCTGACTTCATGAAAAAGATATCATTGACCTAAGTCTAGAGCATGAAGAGCTGAGGAAGTCTGCTCAAACAAACGAGTCAGAGGTAGGCAGGGTTTGTGGAGGCAAGGGAAGAATTGACACTAGCAGAATGACAGGAAGCTCAGGCCAGAGAGTTTCTTAAGAGTTGAAGCTGAAAAAAAAAAAAAAAAGAGTATTAGAGTTTACAGACTCTTGAATGCCCTCAAACAATGCTGTTTGGACAAGGGAAAACCACCAGAGATCTTTGCTCTTAGAAGTGCATGAACTGACATGGGTTTAAAGTGGAAATATTTGGTAGAACTTTAAGGACCAGACTGAAGAGAAAACATTAGCTTATTTTGTCTCAGTATGGTATAGACATATAAGGAGTGTGAGTTAGAAAGCAGAGGGGCAGGGAAGGAGGGACAGAGATAATAAGAAGTCTTTGGTGAATAATTAAGTGGAGAAAGGTAGATTTCACTAGTGCTGCTAACAATCATTGGGCTCCTGCTTTATATCAGGCTCAGTAGAAATAGTATAT